GAAGGTTTATTGTGCTAAATGAAGAAGAATACATGTGCATGATATACAGAAAGAGGTCCCATAGTCAGAGACTGCAAGGGGACCTCTTGTACAATGTAGAATTGAGAATGATTGTGATGTACATAGCAGGGAGACAGAGCTACAGTAAAATGCAATTGAAACAAATAAAGTGAGAATATACAGAAACAATTTAAAAGTAAGAATAACGTGCTAACTTCAATGACAAATGATTACAGAACACAACTCACAATGAATAGGAATCAATTAAGAAACAGCAAAACAGGCTAGTTAGTTGACATGATATGATTTTTTAACCTCGATTTAATTTCCTTCAGGGAACGGCATACTTTAATGTCGGAAGGCAAACTATTCCAAAATGAAATTCCGGAAAAATGAATGGTTTGTTTGCCATAATTGGTGCGAACTTTTGGCAGTAGAAAGTTATTGTTAAGGGCAAACCTTGTGACATTGTTATTTGAGAGAATGGAAGTGAAATGTGGAAGTTGGTTATTTATAGTTCTATACATGTAAATACCAAGGTTATATTTAACTAGCTCAGATACAGTTAATATATTGTTTTCGTGAAGTAGTGACTTAGCGTTAGAGAGATATGGGCTTGATGTGAGAATTCTTATCGCTTGGTTTTGAATTGTCTGAACTGAAGTAAGATGAGTGGTGTATGTGTTGCCCCATGAAGTAATACAGTAAGAAATGTGCGAATGAACAAAAGAAAAATACAGTGATATAAGTATTGATGGATTGAAATAAAGACGAGATTTAATCAGTAGACGAATGCCATACGTCATTTTTTTCCTAATATATGCAACATGTCGGTGATATTTCAAGTTACTGTCGAGTTCAACGCCTAGAAATCTACAGCAGTCGCTCACAGGGATGTCATTGCGCGCAATTATAACAGGAGGGATAGAAGGCAAGGGTTTTTGTGGTGAAGAGAAGACAACAAATTTTGTCTTAGACGTGTTAATTTCTAACATGTTATTACTGCACCACCGAACGAGCTGTGCCAGATCAAAGTTTAGTTTTCCAGTTAAGGATGTAATACTGCTATCGGAGTTAAAAATTGTGGTATCGTCGGCGTATAATATACAACTGGATGAAGAAAGGCATTTCGGCAAATCGTTAATATAAAGTAAAAACAAAAGGGGCCCCAGAATGGACCCCTGGGGTACACCAATATTAGTTAATTTGGTTGAAGAATATACATTAGAAATTACCACTTTCTGTGTCCTGTTGCAGAGATAACTACGCAATAATAGTAATGTTGGGCCAGTTATACCAAATGCTTCAAGTTTATTGAAAAGAATGTGATGATTGATTGAATCAAAAGCTTTAGATAGGTCGATGAAAACACCGCCCGCATAGTAACTGTTGTCAATAGCCTTTTTTAATTGGTCAGTAAGTGAGATTAGCGCAAGGTCACTGGAGTAGCCAGAACGAAAGCCAAATTGACAAGGCGATAGTATATTAAATTTGTTTAGGTAATTTGTGAGACGTGTACAGATCAGTTTTTCAATTACTTTGCTCAAAAAGGGTAAGATGCAAATGGGGCGGTAGTTATTCAATAACGAAGCATCTCCTTTTTTATGTACGGGGATTATTTTACCCTGCTTCAGTTCATGCGGGAAAACACCTGTTCTAAACATTAAGTTCACAATTGATGAGAATACATTTGATATAAGGTGAGCTACCATTTTTACATGGGAGGGGTGAATGCCGTCAAGGCCAGCACTCGTCATTTTTAGGGTACCAATAACGCTAATTATTTCATCTGGAGTTGTGGGAAACAGAAAGAACGAATGGGGTAAGCGATCTAAGGCCATTTCATTTAATAAAGGTAGAGTGTGCTCGACGTTAAAGAAGAAGTTTGCAAACTGATCGGCGATGTCAGCTGGATCACTATAAGTGACATCATTATGAAGAACTGTAGCTATTTTTTCCGAACGTGGGTTCCTATTTAAAAAGGAATTAATGATGTCCCATTTTTTCCTCGTACTATTTCCGGCCTCAGTTATCTTTTGCGCATAATACTTTCTTTTAGCTTCCTTAAGCTGGGTGTTTATTAGGTTGCAAAATTTTTTATAGCGAACAAGCAAATTCGTATTAAACGGTTGCCTTTTATTTTTTGGAGAGGTTGTCACGTTTGCGCATTTTTGTTAGTAATCCCCTCGTCAGCCAGGGATTTGCTGGTGATGCGATTATTTTTTTGCATTTTTGCTTATCTGTACAAGATTGAACATGTGATAGGAGCAAAGATGAAAAGAGGGTGAAAGCTTCTTGTGCATCAGCTTTAAGATAAACTTCAGACCAGTTAGTGTTAGCAACGGTATCAATATATTTCTGCTTGTCCAATATATCACGAATAAAGGAAGGTGAATCACGTTTTGCAGTGGAATCGAAACGCAGAAATATGGGATAGTGGTCAGTAATATTAATTTCTAGCACTCCAGCGTCTGGTGCCGTGAGTAGATTTGAAAATGCATGATCAATGAGGGACCCATTGCTAATGCTGTTTGGTCTAGTTGGAAGACTGATTAAAGATTCATACCCGAAGCTGTTTAGTGCAGCTAGATAGTTGATTGAGTTAGGTGACAAATCGTCTAGTAAATTAATGTTTATGTCACCCATGATAATAGCATTTTTATTTTCAAGGGAAATAACATTTAGGGAGCGTTGCAAGTTTGTGCAAAATTCAGTAACTGGAGAAGACGGTGAGCGGTATATACAGCCTAATATGAATCTTTTGTTATCTATATTAAGAAAAGTATGCTCAAACTCAAGCCAGACCGATTCACATGAGAGCGTGTTTAATTCGAGATCAAACCTTCGTTTACAGGAAACGTTAGAAGATACGTATATGGCTACGCCACCATGATTACTTGATAACCTGTGACTGTAATATGACGTATAGGAAGGGAAACCGAACAGATTTCTATCGTCTTCTGATAACCAAGTTTCTGTAACTGCAATTACTGAGAAAGGGTTGGTAAACGTGGAAAGAAGATTTTGAAATTCATCAACATGCTTTCGAAGGCTTCTGGCATTAAAATGAATAAAAGAGCGGGAGTTACTCCCTAAAAACGAGTTTAGTTGCACAGGTGACAGAAGAGCCGTTGAGAAAAGAAAGCAATTTTTAGCCGACTTTGATAGTTTGTTGTGAACGGCAGGCTGCGTACTGCGCTATAATATTTGGCTTGTGTGTTCTCGGGAGCCTCTACTACAGATAGGCAGCGTTTTCTGACCATGCTCAAAAGGTGTTTTTTTTTAATAGAACATGACTAACGACAGAATAAAATATATTTATTGTATTAAACTATAACTAATCTAGAAATATAATATGAAGTGCCTTGGCATGAAGGCGTGTAAATCTGACACACATGCAGACAGTGTATTATTATTATTTGCCCATGAAGAAGGTATTTGAGGGTTGTTAGAAAAGTATCCGACCTTATCTTATTTTATTTTTTTGGAGCACCTGATAGATTTGAAACAAGCGTGCTTGCATCAGCCGACTTGGAACCTTTGTGCCCATGAGTGAATTTTTTCCCGCCTGCGAATAGCGTCAGTCACTGGGACGCAGCGTTTGAGTGAGGTAGAGTGCAATTCTCTCGTCAGTTTTTCATTGCAAGGGAGCGACCGGAGCAGCACTACTGTATCAAATTTTGCCAGAAATTGGGTGACACCCATGTGGAAACCATTGGGAAGATCAAGATGGCTTTTGGTGACAACGCTACGAGCCGTACACGGATTAAGGAGTGGTACAACCAGTTTAAGGACGGCCACACATTAGTGAAGAGCGAGCTATGCTTCGGTCCGCTATCAACATGCCGAAATGACCAAGTCATTGCCGAAGTGAACGCTGTGGTGATGCAGGACCGTCGCGTAACTATTGGAAAAATTGCGGAAGAGGTGGGCATCAGCCATTTCTCTGCATTATGGCTGAAGATGTGACCATGAAAAGAGTTGCAGCAAAATTCGCGTCGAAACTGCTCATGGTGGAGCAAAAGCAACTTCGTGTTGAAGTCTCACAGGACTTGCTGGATTTCACAAGCAGTGATCCTAACTTCATGAACACTATTATCACTGATGAAGAGTCTTGGGTGTATGGTTATGACCAGGAAACCAAATCCCAGTCGTCACAGTGAAAGGATCCCACGTCACCAAGACCAAAGAAGGCCTGCCAAGTGTGCATCAACGTCAAAGTGATGCTGAGTGCTTTCTATGACTCCCGCAGAGTGGTACACCACAAGTATGCACCACAGGGTCAAACAATGGCTAAAGAGTACTACAGAGATGTAATCCGTCACCTATGTGATGCTGTGCAGCGCAAGAGACCTGAGTTGTGGTCAATAGGAAACTGGTGCATCCATCACGACAATGCTCCTGCACAGTCTTCACACTTGGTTCAGGCTTTTTTGGAAAAAAAGTCAGGCTCCTGTAGTTCAACAGGCTCCTTAATTGTCCTGATATGGCCCCCCGCGACTTGTGGCTGTTTCCTAAACGGAAAAGGATGTCGAAAGGAGAGCAATTTCAGACAAGGGATTACATTATGGCTGCAATGGAAGCTCAGCTAAACTCTATTCTGAAAAAGGCCTTCTCAGAATGCTTCCAACAATAACAGCACCGCTGGAAGATGTGTGTTGAGTTCCAAGGGGACTACTTTGAGGGGGATTAGGTTTCTAACGCTCAAATTATGCCAGTTTTTTTTTCTTCTACCAAAGGGTGGGTACTTTTTGAACAGACCTCGTTTTTTCCATCTCAGCTTCAGTGTCACTACTGTCAATGTTCATAAAGCAAGCCATGAAGTGAAGTCAAGAAAGGTGTTGAACACAGTATAAATTGTGCTTTTGAAATAAAGCATACTTTTGTTTCAACCACATTAATCTGTGGTTAATTTGCTGGGAAGGTTCTCTACAAGTTTCTGCCAGTACTTCTATCTGGCAAATGGCATTCTGCCACAAGTCCATAATGTGGTAAATTGAATGTGCAAAAACCAAATAATAAATCATATTTATCCTTCTATCTATTCTAATACTATTAAAATAAATTGAAGGAGCAGCAAAATTATCAACAGACATAGAGCACTTTTTGAAAGTGACATATGCACATCAACACATTTCCATGAATTAAAAATTGTGGGCAACAACATAAATATCAATCAGTTTCTAGACGGTTAGGCTGGCTACTGGCATGGCTAGGGGCAGGGAGATTAAACCTCTACCCCCAAAATTTTTTAACTTCATATGTGCCCATTTACATGCACACATGCAAGTGCAGGCAAAAATATGCATGCACAGAGGGTGGTAAAACCCTCCCTCCCAAATTTTTGTTTAAACCACTGTGGCTGGCATTATAATCAAATTGACATAGCTATCAACAGATGCGTCGGCAATACCAATATATTTGGTCATGTAAATTTACCAGCACAAGCCCCCTCTAGTGAAAACAGCGCTAAACATGAGAAATCACAGTCCTCTCTCGCCTTGCTTTTTTTTCTTTGTAAAACATGTTTGTAGGCATTGGTCTTACAAAAAGAAAACGCATGCATATGTAGAAGATCGAAACGCTTCAACTAAACGTTATAAAGAGGACGTATTCCATAAGGTCACTTGAATCATAATGTGGCAGTGTTTTGTTCACTGGTCGGCACAACAATGAATGTAGCTCTAATGTGAAATCTTTCTAAGGTACTGGTTTCTTTATTTGTCTGACATGGCTTCCTTGCCCATGCTCTTTATGGGTGGGTTTTGTTTGCTTTCTCATGGGTATGGTGAGATAATGTCAGTCGAAAATACTTTCTCGTCCTGTCTCCTCCTTGTGTTGCCCCGCATGTACAAAGTTCATTATAAATATTCACCAACTAATCCAATTACTGTCCAACTCTCATACTTGACACCTCATGCAATTGTTACTTATTAGGAAAAGTGAAGTTTCTAAGTGACACTGTAATGATGCACAGAAAGGTTTAAAAACTATGGCTCACATGAAGAGGCAACTACCATAGTACACGTGTTTAGACACATGATGTGTCACTGAAAAACTTTAGAAAATGAGCAGAAAATAAGGTGTACATGAGACAATTATCTGCACTGCAAGTACTGCATGATATTTTGTTTTGGAACAATAAAGAATGTCTTGCTATACGATTCTTCATGAGTACGCCCGCTCTGCATTTTCGTTCCCATGATGCATGTAGACTTTTCACAATTACGCAACAACGTTGATGTTGAATTCGAGCAAGCTGTGACTCCGCGTACACGTCTCCCCCTCCCCCCTATTTTTATCCACTCCTTGCTCAAGAGCTAACCATAAAGGGACGGTGATGTTTAATATTACAGTAATATGTCCATTCGCTTTCTAAAATCGGCTCAAAATCGCTACAACAGCAACAAAACTAGAGCATGCCAAGGGGGATCAGGAGCCTGTTCTGAACGCAGCATTCAGTCGTTGGCGCAGACGATTGGCAACATCCTTGAAAGGTGTCTGGCTCTCAGAAGCAGTGAGTGGAATCGAGCAGGCGCGTCGAAATCCTGGAGCTGCTATGAGCATGTTCTGGCCAAGGGCAAAGCTGCTTGAACAGAGCCAGTAGAGGGACACATTCTGAACACGGTAAAGAAAAGAAAAGCCACAAAAGACACCATAAATGTCGGCCATTCCCAGTCACAGGCATGTTACCATCAAAAAGTGACAGTGTTTTAGTTAAGAGTCACCTGCAGCACAAACTTAGCCCTATTAAATAGGTCTACATAACCCTATTACAGTTACTTTGACAAGCAGCATTGTAGTTTTCCTATTACTGTAAGAAAAGTCTTTGCAATGTCACCAACAATATTTATTTTATATGACAAAATTAAGACAGGCAGAAAACCCATTCTTCATGTGCAAGGAACACAAGTTCCATAAAAGAAGGCACAGTGAAACAAGGACCTAACACAACTTTCCCCATTTGAGATGAGCACAGCTTGTCCTTGTCGAATTGTCCCCAAACCGTATCGGATCAGTATTACCTGTTCAATCAACATAAAAGCTTTTCGACATTGTCAGAATGATGGGCATTGTCGCAATGAGGGAACTATTCTCAGAGTGCTGAAGACCAATGTTCTTGTTCCTGCTTTGTTATTTATTGTTAATTATTGGCAGGTAGCTGATACTTTCTCTAAAAGTAATTAAGACTTCATTAAGCTAGTCTGACTGCATCATTGCTTTGATTTCTTTTGTTGTTTAATTGTAAAAGCTTGCTTTTTATAAAGAAATATTCCATGTCAACGTAAAAAACACCATTTAAAAAGTTTCCTAAACATTAAAATGCTTAAGGGGTTAAACATAGGTTTTAAATCTATTTATTAATTTATACATACAGCGACCCTATTCAAGGCGATAGGAGGAATCGAACGTTATATAATACTAGGCAATTGAAAAAAAATGAGGCAAATAATGCAAACGGTAAAGCAAGTACACTTTTAACAAAAGCAAAAGTGAATTTTATTGCACGTTAGTAAGATGTTCATCAACTGCAACTATGTGTGTCATCTGTGTCAATTCATTATTTGCAAATCTTGGTATACCTCAATAAGTTGCTTCTCAGTGTTTTTATCGCAGAAATTCCTTCTCTTGCTGAAGATGCTGCCTTATTTGCTGGACAAACATTCAGCTGGTGCACTAGATGGAATGGATGAGCTACTCTATATAAAGAGTTGGAAATCATTGAACAGGGAATGTCACTGGAGACGGTCCAAAGATTCCTCTCTTTCTCTTTATAACTGGGGTTTTACTTTCCAAAACCATGATATTATTATGAGGGTGCCGTAGTAGAATGCTCCAGAAAATTCTGACCATCTGGTGTTCTGTAACGTGCACAGATATTCCAAAGAACATGGTCATCTAGCATTTCGTTGGCGTGAGAATGCAACTGCTGTGTCCGGGATTGAGTCTGCGACTTTTCGGTTTGTAGCCAAGCACCGTAACTGTTACATCACCACGGATCAATGACTCTCACACTCTAAGTCTCCATCTTCCTCTGAACATCGGTCTTATCTGGATTGCATAAAGGGATTTTTCACACTGAGGTACCATCGGCAACATGCTCAATAACCTCTTATAAAGTGAATGTGTACTAGAACAACGGAGTGCTCAGAGAGAGAGCTTCGAAAAGTGAAGCCAGAACCGGGTCAAGCCGCTTTTAGTGCGGTGATTTTCAGCTTGCAATGTGTCGTTGTTTTAAGAGTTGTGCACAGCTTCCCCAAAGTGGTGCAGAGATAGAATGCCTGTTTCACACTAGACCTTTTAACGCAGAGTGTAGTGTCGTCAATTTGCAACGTACCGAAAAACTTCGAGCAAGCAAGTCACGATAAGTGCACAGCCTTTGATGCTGGCTGCCAAGTACTCAATGGGATTGTAGCTTTCATCATGAAGAATATAGCGTCATCTTGTGCAAGGTACTTTATGCTAGAGCCAATTGTTTTGTTACTGATGGGGGAGAGTGCAAAGTGCAAGCAACAGTTCTCACTTTTTCATTCTTTATCACCTGGGTGACGTAAGTTTTATCTTCAATAATTTTATTTATTTGGTGTTTACACACCCAAGAGGTGACCCAAGAGGTGACCCAAGACACGCTATGTACTTCTGAAGTAGGTTTTTTTCTTGTAAGGTCCACGCTTCTGTGGCATATGGAGAATTTGCGACATACATAGGAGCACGCATTAAAGCTGCATTTTAGGTTAACTACAGAATAATTTCGACTATCCTATCCAATATGGATACGATAGTCGAGATGGAGTTCTATAGAGAGCTGTACAGTAGTCAAAAGGACCAGGATGATATTGCGAGTAACTATAATAGTCCAAGAAAGTTCGACATCCTACCAGTAACAACAGGGGAAGTAAGAAAATCTCTAGAAGGAATGCAAAGAGGGAAAGCCGCGGGTAAGGATAAAGTGAAAATGGACCTCTTGAAAGATGGCGGAGAAATTGTGTTCGGAAAATTAGGCACCTTATATACAAAGTGTCTCTTGACGGGAAGGGTACCAAAGTCTTGGAAGAACGCCAAGATCATCTTAATCTATAAGAAAAGAGACTTTTAGAACTTCAAAAATCACAGGCTGATGAGCTTACTCTCCGTTCTCTACAAACTATCTACAAAAATAATATCTAATACAATTAAGATGATATTAGAGTTCAATGAGCCAAAGAACCAAGCAGGATTTTGTACCAGCTACTCCACAATAGACCATATTCATACTATTATTCAGGTAATAGAGAAATGCGCTGAATACAACCAACCCCTACAAATAGGTTTCATAGATTACGACAAAGCGTTTGACTCAGTCGAGACATCAGCAGTAATGCAGGCACTATAGAATCGGGGCACCGAAGAACCCTACATAAACATACTGGAAGAAATCTACAGAGGATCCACAGCCACTATAGTTCTCCATAAAACAAGCGACAGAATCCCAATAAAGAAGGGTGTCAGACAGGGAGGCACTATCTCTCCCATGCTATTCACCACATGTTTACAGGAGGTATTCAGGACCCTAGACTGGGAAGAGTAAGGGATAAGAGGTAATGGAGAGTACCTTAGAAACCTGCGATTCGCTGATGACATTGCCTAAATGAGTAACTCAGGGGATGAATTGCAGTTCATGATTACTGAACTGGACACGGAAAGCAGAAAAGTAGGTCTGAAAATTAATATGCCCAAAACTAATGTGCAACAGTCTCGGCAGAAGGCAGCACTTTGAGATACGTGGAGAGACTCTGGAAGTTGTGAAGGAATATGTCTACTTAGGACAGGTAGTAACTGCAGATCTGAACCATGAGAGGGAAATAACTAGAAGAATAAGGATGGGGTGGATCACATTCAGCAAGCATTCCCAAATCATGAATGGTAATCTGCCCCTAACCCTCAAGAGAAAGGTATACAATAGCTGCATCTTGCCAGTACTTATCTACAGAGTAGAAACCTGGAGGCTTACAAAAAGGGTTTATCTTAAACTGAGGACGACACAGCGAGCAATGGAAAGGAGAATGATAGGTGTAACCTTAAGAGACAAGAAGAGAGCAGAGTGGGTCAAGGAACGAACCAGGGTTAAGGATATCACAGTTCAAATCAAGAAAAAGAAATGGACACGGGCCGGACACGTAGCACATAGGCAGGATAACTGGTGGTCATTAAGGGTTACTGACTAGATTCCCACAGAAGGCAAACGCATGAAGAGGGGACAGAAAGTTAGGTGGGCCGATGAGATTAAAAAGCTTGTGGGTATAACGTGACAACAGAAGGCACAAGACCGGGTTGATTGGCGGATCATGGGAGAGGACTTTGCTTTGCAGTGGACGTAGTCAGCTGATGATGATGATGATGATGATGATGATAATTTCAAGGTTGCTATTTGAAGTTGGAAAATGAAAACAATTTTTTATTTGTTAGGCAGTTTCATAATTCAGGTATTAAAAGATTAGAAGACCCGAGTCCGAGTTGCAACTATACATGGTTTTGATTTATATTGTAGCGTACACAAATCTTGAAGAAGTACGGCCACTAGCGTGGGTCCCGTCTTAGCGAGTCGCAGGGCACGCGTTAACCGTCGGCGTGGCGAGAACACAGTACTGCTCATGATCGCAATACTTTATTGTCCGCGGCAACACCAAAAATGCAGTACAAAGCTCGTTGCAATAGGGCCGGTGGGAAAGCAGATGGGCTTATCGACGCCCTGGGCGAGAAACACCACACAGGGTGCCGCAAGCATGCCTACGTAATAAATGTGATTCCCGAGGACACTGGGACAAAAGCGGTCGCGTCGGCTTCGGAGAGATACGGCTTGGCGTAGCCTGGCCACACACTAGGACACTGCACTGCTCTTCGGCCTAGCGTTCGGAAGGGGGGGGCGACAACAGGTAAGCGTTTGCCACAGGCACAAGGTGCTGTTGGCAGAGTCCAAACGAGCCCCAAACAAAGGAAGTCAATTGACGGAAAAGAAGAGTATAATTACCCCATGTTGTCTCTGAGAGGTTCTCTCTCACTCCCGACGCGCACGCGTGAAACGTCCTGAGAGACTGTGCACACGGCGCCACAGTTGACATCCGGTACCGGGAGGGGTTAAACGTCCCTCCCCACTCTCCCAGCGTGGCGGACAGCCGAGGAGGAGAGTCATGTTGGGAAATGAGAACGGAGAAAGAGGCGGCAAAGCCCGCGCAAAGGCAGCGGGCCAGCCTCGATTCCCACATCTCCTCTCTTAAGTTTTCCCTTTACCGGTCTGTAAAGGCAGCCGGACGTCACCCATGCAGTTAAAATGATACTGCTATGAGCAATAGCTAACCTCAGTCCAGCCCTGTAACTGCTGCTAGGAAATGATGAAAGAAGAAAAAACATTAATAATAAAACAAACCCATGACACAATAAGATTTTTGCCAAAGGGAGCACAGGAAAGTAAGGCTAGTGTTTGTGGTGCTAAGGCGGGATAGCGTCCACCGCGCGGAGGGGCGGAAGTGCATGACAATGTCCACTCAGTGCGACGTCAATGTGGGAGGTCAGAGGCACGGAAGGAGCGCACTGATGGCTCGTGGCTGCTCTTGATGATTGGTCAGCGTGTCTGACGAACA